TGTGTGTGTGTGTGTGTGTGTGTGTGTGTGTGTGTGTGTGAGTGTTTCTGTCTGTGAAATAAATACAAGTGAAAGCAGGCCGTCGTCAAGTTTTGGGTAGATAGATAATTTATCGTGTTAACTTATCGTGTTAACTTATCGTGTTAACTTATCGTGTTAACTTATCGTGTTAACTTTCCTTGTGTTTTATGAAAAAAACCCACATCGAGATATTTGCGAATGAAGGCGGCAGGGGTCACCTAGTGACTAAATAGAGCGCAACTGATCAGAAAACAACGTAAAACGAAAGACCCCCCACCCTCCCCCCGCCCACATTTTCTCTCTTTCATTTAAGCAACCTCTTATATTTGAGAAACTTCCCTAAACAAAAAACCTGGCTAAACCCAAACAAAACTCCGTCTGTCCCACAGGTTTTTGCCATAAGTGGACTCCACTGTACCTTCGATAAAAGGATTTCCATCTTGAAGGACACAGTTATGAGAATATTCAGCAGAAAATAAGCTGGAGCATGGTAGGCCTACAGATTGAATGATTATAATATATTTAGAATTTATAGAGCACCTGACATTTACCACATTGTCATGTTTTCTGTTCTCAGGAGAGGTGTCAGCAAACCAAAATGGGACATGATCAGAAACAACAGGATCAGTTAAATTATGATCGGAAGAGCACCTGCCCTCCACTACATTCAGAGGTAAACAGACTGGTGGTTTGGACATCTGACACGTATGGGGCCGCACCAGCGTGCTAGTAAAGCGTACTTTAAAAGAATATCAGGGTACAAGGCAAAAGGAAGACCAAGGAAGACCTGGATCGTGGGTGTGAAAGAAAACCCTTGAAGACCCATAACATCCCACCCAGCCAGGCCATCGAGCTTGCCAGAGACAGGAAGCTCTTTCTCCCCTCGACGTCCTAGAGGTACAAGAGAAAGGATAAAGTGAAGTAAAGTAAGTATTCCGCTGTCAAGATTGTATAAACATGCACTAGATCCATTATCATTTAATTGTTGTCAGAAGTGTTTGCTCAGTCGTTCTGTATCATTTTTTGTACGGCTTATACAGTCTTTGTGTGCCTGTTTGCAATCAATTAATTAACTTCATCTCACATCCTTCCTTCCGCGCCACTCTGTCAGACAAACAGTTTAATGTTGACAATATTGTTATTATAGACAAATGTCGAAACTCTTTAATGGGGTAAAATTGGTGATTTTGCCTCCGAAATGATCGGAATGCACTCAAAAGTTGAACCTATTGATCCAAACTACATGTATGTTGTTCCTTTGGCTCACACAACTGAAAGATTGCTCCCTTAAATGGTGTGCACCTCAAGACACTTAGCTAACGACCGACTCGTTCATCTCACGGACAGACAGAGTCATTAGCCCCCGGTAAACAAACATTGCTTCTAGAAAGAATGTAAGTGTGATAGGCCTAATGTACTTAGCGACTCAATTCCTATGATGAGACAATTTGTCCGAGTGCACACGCACTGAACCAAGCTACTCCAGTTCCGTCTCGGGCGCCTGATTTAATGACTTTGTAAATATTGGAAAAATTTTCCACATAGACAACTCAGAGCCTAGAAAGTAAACATCCTAATGTTTATAAAGCAAAACGCATTTTGAAAACCACCTAGCTTTAACAACTGCACGCTGATAGCACAGTTCTGGTGCCCTCTAGACCTCTTTTTTCACACACTCTACCTCTGGAAGTGTCATAAATTCTGCCTTTGAAGTTCACGAATTCTATGCTGTCTTGTACTGATTCCACTTTCCAGTAAACTGTCAACGTTGTGAGCTGTATAATAAATATCCGACCCTGGGATACGGTTAAGTTGAACATAGAAAAAGTTTTAAACATTGTCTCTGTCTTCTAGTGCATTTTGTTTTTAAATTGTATGACATCTATTAAAGAAGAATATTGCCAAAGGTTTTCCTTATATTAGGAACATTTGTGATTAGACAGTAGGAAAGTTTTGACATGGAGATGTCCGACCCGGATGTCAACGAAACCGAATTAATGACGTCATCGCCACCTGCTCAGTTTGTACCTTTCATTAGCGACGAGGAGTGGGCGATAATATCAGTGGTCAACTTTACGTTCATCTGTGGTCTTGGATGTCTGACCGGCATGGTAACCAATGTCATCAACATCGTAGTTTTCGCCAAGCAAGGATTCCACGACAGTATGAACGTTAGTCTTATGGGTGAGATTGTAACTGACGATATACAGTCTAGTGTGAACGTTAGTCTTATGGATGAGATTATAACTATCGATATACAGTCTGGTTCGCAAATAACGAAAGACGCACCTAGCACAATACGAAAATGCACATAGTGAACTCACACATAACAAACATATTTTCAGGTCTCAAATTTTCTCATACGCATGTTTGTTCTTCATATCTAACACATATACATAGCGAAATTCGTACATAACGAAAAGATTTCCGCGTCCAGCTGATTATGTGCGTCATTATCAGCCTCTCTCAACCCGTACCGGGACATAGACCACCAACAAGAGATGGAACATGCGGTGTTCAAAGCTCTAACAGATATAATGGGACGTTATCGTGAAAACATTTATAACAGATGATAGAAACTTTGTTGGATTCTTTTATTAGCTGGAAGCCAACGTAGAGCTTATAATATTTTTGATGCAGGATCTTTCTTCTTTTTCTTTTCGTACTAGTCTTGCGGTGTTATTTTGGACCACTTGCAATTTCCTCATTCTCTTAAATGAAATACCACACAGAACAGAATTGCAACAGTCATGTTCTGACATGACAAGAGAGACAGAGAACATGCGTGCAATGTCAGTTGAAATAATGTGCCTTATCTTACTAATTCTTCTGAGATCAAAGTACATTCATCAATTGACATGATTTACTCGGGGACATGTCTGAATCTATGAATAGATACCAAGGTTTTGGCCTTGCTGGAAAATGATATACTAGTATTTTTCGTTTCTGTTAACATCATTAAGATTTTTTTGAATCTCCAAATAGGGTGGCTTTTGTTTTTTCTTCCTTCAGCATTAATTTTTTTTCAAACATCCATTCCCCCCCCCCCCTCTTTTTCAATGCATTTCTCTACTCTTTCTATTAACCCATTGGAGTCGCATAGATGAAAAAAGCCATATATACGTGTGTCATAAGCGTAAAAGTGGTAGCTGAGCGGATATTTTTGTATTTCAACAGCAAGTGGTTGTGTATATATTGTGAATAGTACTAAGACTAAAACTGAACCTTGAGGAACACCAAACTTAAGAATGCCTTTTGTGACTTCGATGTAATTATCACAGCAAATTGGCAGTGGTTTGAGAGCAGAACCACGAAAGCCAAGCACATGTTTTTTTTTCCTAATCATTTTCCTAAAATTACACGATCAGTGATGTAGGATTGGAAGCTAGCTGCTGACAGATCTAACAGATTTAGCTTTTCAACTTTGCCAGATAAACAAATAAGTTAAACAAACAAAGCGGGTGGCTGGAGGTGCTCTGGTGTAGCTTGCTCTTTCTTTTCAATCAAATATCTATCGTCCTTATCTCTCTTCCTTTTTTTTGTGTATGTGTTAATCTCATGTAATTCATCTATTCTTCGGCACTTATATGACCTTATTGTGTTGCAAATGCTGTAAAACTTTTAAGAAAACTAAACAAACGAAATCACTGGCTCTCATTCCAGGCCTTGCAGTGTCCGACCTGGGCTCACTGGTGACCACGTTCTGGATGAGCATCTGTTTCAACCCTCTGTTCATTGCGGCTGACCTGCCTATTGACGTGAAGGAGGTCATGAACACGCTAGGTGGCCGGCCACACATTATCTTTGCCAGGTCTGACATCTGCCGGTTCTTGGAAGTTTCTTTCTTTTTGTTTTAACAAGATAACTTCTAATTTGTTATACATCAGCCCGTAATTCTTCGAAGTATTTTTTAATCACTTCTGATTTGTTATAATCAGCAGGTAATTCTTGGAAGTTTCTTTTCTTAAAAAAGAACTTCTAATTTGTTATAATCAGCATGTAATTCTGGGAAGTTAAAAAAAATAACTTCCAATTTGTTATAATCAGCATGTAATTCTGGGAAGTTAAAAAAAAACAACAACTTCTAATTTGTTATAATCAGCATGTAATTCTTGAAAGTTTCTCTTTAATGACTCCTCATTTGTTGTAATTTTATTATTTCTTATAATTTTCTTTTTCACGTTTATTACTATCATATTTTTAAAACATTTCCTGTTAACAATGTCTTATTTATGGAAGTTTATCATCATATTTCTTGGACTTTTTAATGGCCACTGAGCGTCTGTTTCAACCTTTTGCCAGGCCAGATCTGTTGATTCCTGACAGTTTTTTGTTGGTGTTTTTTACACTTCCATCGACTCAATTTAGAACATTTGGGAGGCATGTTTCAGCGCCAACCAGGGCTGACTGAGAGGGTCCAACAGTTTGATAAAAATTCTTCCTATTCGGGAACCCTACGCGAGCTTTCTGCATGCAATAGTGAAGCACTAAAACCTCTACACAACAGTTGCCAATTCTTCCTCTTAATATTCTGGAAACTCTTTTTTAAAATGAGAAATTCTTAAGCGATTCATACATTTGGCCCTTCATGATTAATATATTTGGTGCTCGATGCTTGTTGATTTGTACATTCAACACTGGATCATTTATATATTTTTCCCGACAGGATCACCAGTTTTATCACTGCGTTCATCACCTTCGAGCGATGTCTGTGTATTTCCTTGCCACTCAAGGTCAAGATGATCATCACACCCAGGAGAACGAAGATCATCATCATCTTTATCTTTATCCTCATGTTCAGCTATCCTCCACTATACGTCGGTAACAGACTAGAGTGGGTTTTCGATTCCTCCAGGAATGCTACAATCCTGACAGTCGAGTTCAACGAGGAGGTGATAAAAATAGAACCGGTCGCTTTTTTCCTCTACGGGGTTACGTTTTCCCTACTCTCCTTCGTCTTCGTCATCTGCTGTACCATAGTTCTCGTCGTCAAACTGAACACCAAAACAAAATGGCGGCAGGCCACGGCTGCTAAGGGCGCTAGCGCACCGGAAGGAGTTGGGGTCAAGGACAAAAAGGTTGTGAAAATGGTGACCTTTATCTCGTCCATTTTCATCGTCTGCTTCGGACCTTCCTCGTTGATGTTTGTCGTAATGGCCCTGGAGCCAAGATTTCGCCTGAATGGCGCGTTCACGAATCTGTACATGACCCTGTGGTCTGCCTCGTTCATTCTGGAGACCGTCAACTCCAGTGTCAACATGTTTGTGTATCTGACAATGAGCTCCAAGTACCGTGCGGTGTTCATGAAAACTTTCCTTGGACGGGAGGAAAAGTAATCCCAGCCGGCAATCATCTAAGTCATCAAGGCCCAGAGAGCAATATTGTTCAAGGGAGATAAAGCTCTTTTTCATTCTATTAAAATTGTATCTGGATTGTATATTCTTGTTTACTCCTTCCAACATTTAGAATTTGAATTCGACAAAACATTTCTGGATTTTTGCTTTTTTCTCTGTACCCCTTTTCAGGTGCCATATTGATGATCTTATTCGTAACAAACAAACACTGACTACTCGAAGGTGAACAAATGAATACAGTGATATTTTAAAACCAAGAAGAAAGAAAGAGAGGATTTTATTATGCACATTAATGACCAGAACTATTTTTTGTATTGGAGTACGGTAATCTTCTTTTAGCGTTGGCCTCCTGCTTTAACTGACCCCCCC